GCGTAGCCCTCCTGCCAAGGCAATGGAACAAGGATAAATCACATACAGACTCTGTTGCCTGATCAGAAAGATCTTGCCTGCAGAGTTTGCAACACCTCTCTGGCCCCAGCAGAAACTGCCTGCCCCCCTAGCTTCACTCCAGGCCTCCACTACCCCAAAAGTACCTATGATATGTGTATGTTGCCTACACACATATTATTGCCTTTCCTCTGATTCTTGACTACATCAAAGGTTGAGCAAGTTATCATCTAAGGACCAATTCTCATCTAGGAGACACAACATAAGCAGGAAAATATAGATACTCCATTGCTCTCTTCAGGAAACAATGCCTTTTGCCTTTTTCCACTTTAATTTTAAAACAGCCCTGTTATCCACAGAAAGGCTATTTCAAGTTCTACCCTTGTTAAAAAGAAGGGCAAATGTCCAACTGCAATTGTTATACCAAAGACTAAGTCTTGGTATCAACATTTGCAGATATCTCAAATAATTCTGTAAAGCTATCTTTTATCTGTACTACCTGAGATCTGATCAAGTCTTTAAAACAGACAGCAATGGAAAGGCATTGCCTCCTGGATTGTTTTTTCTTATAATTTCTTTTGTTGCCGAGATATTAACCAATGCTGCATCTTCCACCTCAAAGGTGTAATGTGCACTATTTCAAGCTGTTGGAAAATCCAATTTTAATGTCATCAAACTTTGCTGATTTTGTGAATTCTTCAATAATTAACCAACATATAATATATATTATATATATTATGTATATTACAGACATACATATATATATATATTAGTAACTGTAGGCAGGCATTACAACCAACACAGACAGCACATCACAGATCAGCATGTGAATTCATTTAACAAAAACATATGAAGGAGAGGGTAGAAAGAAGTAAAAGAGACTTCTGATGGGGCAAGTCAGTTGTGTAAAGGAATGGTAAATATATGTCCTGCATGATGACATGACAGACTAAGAAAAATATGCATCTTCACGTATAGGGAAAAAAGTGAAAACTTCATGGGTGTCTTCATTTAGGAATCACATTTCTCACTGCAAAATTTACAGATACAACAACAACTTAGCCCATGGTGGGCAGTATCACAAGATTATAAAGTGCCTTTAAGTATGAAAATCACAGAATGGGGGAGGCTGGAAGGGACCAGAGTGGGTCATCTGGTCCAACCTCCCCACCTAACCATGGTCATCCCAGAGCACACAGGACAGGATTGCATCCAGATAGTTCTTAAATATCTCCAGTGAGGTAAGCTTCACAGCCCCTCTGGACAGTCTGTTCCAGTGTATGGTCACCTGCACAGTAAAGAAATTCCTCTTTGTATTCAGATGGAACTCCCTGTGCATCAGTTTCTGCCCATTGCCTCTTGTTTTATTGTGTGGCAACACTGAGAAGAGCTCCATTCTTGAGAACTCCCCTTCAGATCAAATTCAATAATATCCAGCAAAATTCTAAAGCAAATTGTAAAAGTTAAGGTAGAATAAAAATGTCTTTATTGAGAAATTCACAGAAGTTCAATGCAGCAGTGCAGAACCTGAAGCAAACAACTGGTCATTGCAAATGGAATCAGTTAAATAAGAGAAAGGAAATTATTAATTAACAAAACGTGTCATTAAACATCTTTTCAACATAAATAGTTCAACATTTGGCAGTCTGTGTCAGGTCCACACCAATATAATCACCAATCCCCAGTTTCACACCTTCTCTTCCATGAGTGGCTAAAAGCTGCTGCTGTGGAGGTCAGATCATCAAGCAGATACACATCATGACTCAGCTCTGGGGATCTTGATGTTTCATCACTTTTTTTTTAGTTTATGTTAAAAAACCAAGATGACTTTCCCAGTGACCACAAAAAATGAACCAGCTGTGTATTTGTAACTGAATAAAATTCATACACCAGTCTGCACATAGTGGAATGAGAATGTTTGGTGAGAAACCTAGTTTAATCACTTGTACCTATAATCAACTATGCTCATTTAAGTGGCATTCAAAACTCTGAAGGTCTATTAAACACAGCAGAACACCAAATACCCATTCCCTCAAGAGATCAAAAAAAGTAACAAAAGCCAAAGCTTCAAAGCAGTTTCAGCTGGAGAAGTAAAAATGACTCAGTGATGGTGCCTATATCACAGGAGATTAGAAGGGACCTCTGGAGATAACTTTTAGCTCAACTTGCCTGTTCAAAGTAGATTACTCACAATATTGTATATGTTGAATCAAAGATAACTAAACCCCCAAATGGTTAAACCGAGTATTGCAATAAACACAGATTTTTATGTTAGTAGACAGGAGGATAGCAGTAAACAGGAAATCGGGTCCTCTGAGAGC